CTGGGACCACAGGCATCCGCCACAGTGCCTGGCTATTTTTTGGTTGCAGCCATTATTGTTGTTTGGCGGGCCCGGGCTGGATTCGAACCTGCTACCTTAGGTGTATGTGGCTGGTGCCTTAGCCGCTTGAGCCACAGGCGCTGAGCCGTTTTTTTTTTTTCTTTTTTATTAAATGATAGCTGTGTATATTAATGCAGTCAAGGATAGGCTTTTTTTCAATCCACAGTCAATTGGCTTTTCTTTCCTTTTTTTCCTTTCTTTTCTTCTTTCCTTCTTCCTTCTTTCTTTCTCTCCTTTTTCCTTTCTTCCTTTCTTTCCTTTCTTTCTTCCTTTCCTTTCTTTTTTTGTTTCTTTTCTTTTTTTTCTTGACAGTCTCACTATGTCGCCCTCCTTAGAGTGCTGTAGCATCACAGCTCACAGCAATCTCAAACTCTTGGGCCTAAGTGATTTTCTTACCTCAGCCTCTCAAGGAGCTGGGACTACAGGTACCTGCCACAACGCCTGGCTATTTTTTTGTTGCAGTTATCATTGTTTAGCTGGCCCAGGCCAGGTATGAACCTGCCAGCCTTGGCGGCTGACGCTGTAACCACTGTGCTATGGGTATGGAACCGAGTCATTAGTTTCTTAAAAAGTTATTATGACTATTCTTTTGTTCCATGTATATAAGTATTGTTCCCTTACATTTTTCTTTCTTCTGTTTCTCTTTTTTATACTAAAAACTGTAGGATTGGGGGCTGGGGAAATGAAAGGAGAAAATTACACTGGCAAGGAAGAGTGGGAGGTACTATGTATGTACCTGAACTGTGTGCACTAAACACCTACTAAATTGTTTCTAAGGGAAATCTGGGCCTTGCCCTTCCACCAACAGGAGATGAGAAGGCTTTTTTCTTTTTTTTTTGAGATCAAGTTTCATTTTGTCTCACAGGCTAGAGTACTGTGACCTCAGCCTAGCTCATAGCAACCTCAAACTTCTGGCCTCAAATTTTTGCCTCAGCCTCTTGAGTATCTGGGACTACAGGTGTATACCACCACACCTGGGTAACTTTTCTGTTTTTAGTGGGAATTGGTCCTCCTCTTTCTCAGGTTGGTCTTGAACTCCTGAGCTTAAAGGATCTTCCTGCCTCAGCCTCCTGGAGTTGTAGGATTACAGGTGTCTGCTACTATGCCCAGCCCCCAAAGACCCTTTATTCAGAGGGTGTCTTTGGGAGGGTCATCAAAGATCATCAACCCTGCCTCCACTCAACTGTTAAAGCTTATGATTTGCTAATTATTTGGCAACATAGAAGAGTCATGTCACAAAAATACCTGCCAGAGAGAACAATTTCAAACTCACTTCTGTCCAAACTATCTAAAATTCAACTTGGTTTGAAACTATATTTACTGAATAACATTCTGTTCACTCAACAATTTCTATTAGAGTTCATCATTGGGGTGCCACACTGAGTTACCAATATGCTGAGATATTACTTTCCCCCAGGTTGTGGTCAGAGCAGCTTCTTCTGTTATTCCAAGTATGTTGTAAAAAAATCACTGTGTATGTGTGTGTGTGTGTGTGTGTGTGTGTGTCCCACATAGACGAAACATTGATTGTTGTCTCCTAAAGTTTGGACATCTGCATTGTAATATCCTGGAGTGATTATTATATATGAAAGTTTTCTATCCTAGATATACAAGATTCTGTAACAGTGGTTCTTAACCTTCCTAATGTTGTGGCCCTTTAATACAGTTCCTGTGGGTTGCGACCCACAGGTTGAGAACTGCTGCATAAGATTGTACTTTTGGGGAGTGGGTGGGATGGTGGGACTTAGGTATCTGCATTTTTTTTTTTTTTGACAAGCTTAGCATTGAATAACGGCTTGCTAAAGTTTGAGAATGATTGTTGTTGATCTTATGGAGTGGAAGGTTAATGACAGCAGTTTTGGATATGCTCTGTTTAAGATAGAAATGTCTAGTATACAGAATAGAGAAAGAGGCTGGAGAATGAGAAGATAACTAATTGTATGTGAAGCTCTAAGAATGGGTGAAAATGCACAGGAAGGAATATTAGAATAAGAGGGAAGGAAGCATAGGACTGTCAGCTGGAGAATGTGAGCATAAAGAGGCAAGTTTGGGAAGAGTACTAGATTCTGAGGTCAGGCAGAGATGGGAGAACCAGCTGGCCTGGTACCTGAGAGACGAGGTTTAGTGATAGGAGGATTGAAGAGTTCCCATGACATGTAACGTCAAGGTTCATTAGTGTCCTTGATGAGGGTGGATGAGTGGGCACCATGGTAACAAGATCTAGATTTGCAGTGAGTGAAGTGGAAGTGAGTGGGAGGTAAAGAGACTGAGTGTTTATGGCTCTTTAAAGAACTTAACTGTGAAGGGAAGAAGGGAAAATGATGATTTAAAGGTAATGTAGGGTCAAGGGAAGTGGGAAAAATTCAATGTATAGGATAGGAATATAATTGATAGAGCAGGGGTCTAGAGAAGATAGTCATATGGGATCAGGTACACAGATGGGTTAACCTTGAGCAGGTGGGGGAACATTTTCCCATTGTGACAGAAGGCAAGAAGGTAAGAATGGATGTAGATGTAGACAGATTTATAGGGAAGTTGAGACAGTAATGTCAGTTGACCCCAACTTTTTTATTTTTTCCCCCAAGACTCTCACTTTGTCTCCTTGAAACAGTGTTATCGTCATAGCTCACTCTAACCTCAAACTCTTAGATTTAAGTGATCCTTCTGCCTTAGCTTCTTCTTTCTTTTCTTTTTTTTTTTTTTGAGACAGAGTCTCACTATGTCACCCTTGGGAGAGTGCTGTGGCATCACAACTTACAGCAACCTCACACTCTTGGGCTTAAGCGATTCTCTTGCCTCAGCCTCCCAAGTAGCTGGGACTGCAGTCGCCCACCACAGTGCCCTACTATTTTTTTTGTTGCAGTTGTCATTGTTGTTTAGCTGGCCTGGGCCAGGTTTGAACCTGCCAGCCTGGGTATATGTGGCCAGCGCCCTAATCACTGAGCATGGGTGCTGCTGGCCTCAGCTTCTGGAGTAGCTGAGACCTGAGGCCTGCATCACCATGCCTGGATAATCTTTCTATTTTTTAAGTAGAAAATGTAATAGTAGAGACAGGGTCTTACTCTTTCCCAAGCTGGTGTCCAACTCCTGAGCTCAAGCAATTTTCCTGCCTCAGCCTCCCAGATTGCTAGGATTATAGGTGTGAGCTACCATGTCCAGCCTGACCCCCCTTTTTTTTAGGTGATCAGAGAATAAGAGAGGGTAGTAGGTACTAGGTATCCTGAAATTGTTTAGGGGAAGCCAACTTGACAAATAGAAAGATTCCTTGCGGGTTAGGCATGGTTGCTCACACCTGTAATCCTAGCACTCTGGGAGGCTGGGGCAGGTGGATTGCTTGAGCTCAGGAGTTCAAAACCAATCTGACCCCAGCGAGACCCTGTCTCTTAAAAAAAATAAATAACTGGGTGTTGTAGTGGGCACCTATAGTCCCAGTTACTTGGGAGACTGAGTATGCAAGAGGATTGCATGAGCCCAGAAGTTTGAGGTTGCTGTGAGCTATGACACTGTGGTACTCTAATGAGGGTGACAAAGCGAGACTCTGTCTTAAAAAAAAAAAAAAAAAGAAAGATTCCTTGCTAATCTTGAGAATACCATTGAAACTATGCATTTAAAGTGGTACCTGCTTTTCTGATTCTCTTACCTCAAGAGATGCAGGCTCTTTAGAGAGACAGACTGAAGAAGAGAGAGAGAATCTGAATAATCCAATTTAGATAATGCCAACCTGTGGATCAGAGTAGAAACCACGCAGACTGATCAAAAGTAGTCCCTACCTTTATCTTTTAGTGACTCAGTACTTATAACACACACAGTACTATCCCTTGGAGCTGGACATATATATGTTCTTATCCATCTGTAATGGGAGATAACATGTGTACCCACTGCTTTAGAGGCAGTTTCAGGGAGCCCTTGCTTTTCAAGTTGAGGATCTGTAGGTGATATCTCTTTTTCTTATTAATTCAGGTGTGATTCTCTTTCAGTATTTTTCTGCCTTTAGACTAAATGGTATGTATGCTGTTTACAACCCTATATGCAATGGTAGGGGAAAAGAGGAGAAGGAAAATTTAAAATATTAAGATGAAAGAGTAGGAAAATTGATAACTCAAGGTTAAGTCCCATTGGGGACTGCATTCCCCAGGCTCTGAGTCTTTAATGCCTGCCTGTTCATTAATCCCTAAGTAATTTCATATTATAATAATCAACTATAGCTTGAAATATGTGAGAATCATACTGTTACCTGAGATCTGGTTACTTTGGTGGTCCTGGAGACTGTTCTAGTAATCATGCATTTTGCTTCAGGGGATTAGCTTGTTACCAGGTGGACTTGGCCATCCTGACTTCTTAACCCTGAAGACAGAACTATATTGAAGTTGAATCTTGGTTATTTAGTGAGTAAAAATGGGGATTATGGGGATTAGGGCAGGTTATATGGGAAGCTCAGTGGGGAGTATTTTAGAAAAGTTTGGAGATTTAAGTCTTCTTTAAGCCTTTTAGACTTGTCAAGTGACTCCATCACAATAGTATAAGCTCATTCTTTCTAATTAATACCTTTACTTTTAACTTAGGAAAACTGGAGAGACTTGTCAATCCATTTGTTACTGTAATTGAAATTCAGTGAATCAAGCTCTGAATTACATTCTCAATACTGAAATCCCACTGATAAAAGATAAATCTTTCTGGGCTGGGCATGGTGGCTCACACCTGTAATCTTAGGATTCTGGGCCAAGGTGGAAGGATTGCTCAAGCTCAAGAGTTTGAGACTAGCTTGAGCAAAACGAGACCCCATCTTCTACAACAAATCGACAATTTAAGTGGGTGTGGTGGTGGATGCCTGTAGTCCCAGCTGCTTGGGAGTCTGAGTCAGGAGGAATGCTTGAGCCCAGGAGTTTTTGAGGTTGCTGTGAGCTGGACTGAGGCCAAGGCATTCTAGCCCAGGTGAGAGAGACTCTGTCGCAAAGTAAGAAAAAAAAAGAAAAAAAAGAAGTTCTTTCTGTAGCGCCCCAAAGACTCTGAGTTTTATCCTTTACCCTTAAATGACAAGTTTTGAGATTCAAATCTGTCATTCTTATTTTAAATAATCCGGTGACCTTAGATAAAGCTATTTTATTTTATTTTTTGAGACAGAATCTTACTTTGTTGCCCGTGGTAGAGTGCCATGGTGTCATAGCTCACAGCAACCTTAAACTCTTGGGCTTAAGCAATTCTCTTGCCTCAGCCTCCTGAGTGGCTGGGACTACGGGTGCCTGCCATAACATCCAGCTATTTTTAGAGACGAGGTCTCGCTCTTGCTCAGGCTGGTCTCCAACCTGTGAGCTTAGGCAATCCACCCTCCTGGGCCTCCTAGAGTGCTAGGATTACAGGCATGAGCCACCATGCCTGGCCTTAGATAAAGCTATTTTGTATGTAATTTGACATTCCTCCTTCCTGTTCATTTTGCCCATAGCAGCAATTGTCCGTCCACTGGAATTTTACCTGCAGTGGGCCCAGAGTTCCAAATGATTAGAGGTGATCACTTGATTAATTGTTCTGTCACTGTGTATGATGCTACTTATCCCCATCTAAGATATAAATAGGAGTCTTATTGCTTTGTGCCCCAATTCAGCTTATGAACCAATTCAATATACCCTTGCAGGTTTTGGTACCTGCCGTTTATTTTCTGGTACTTATTTCTACATCAATTATCTTTCTCTCTCTCTCTTTCTTTCTTTTTTTTTTTTTTTGCCACAAGTGACAGGAAAGTATGATACATTTAAGTAGAGACTGGAATGAAAGTGAGATAGCACTCCCAAATGCAGGCCAAGTCTTTTTTTTTTTTTGAGACAGACTCTCACTATGTCACCCTTGGTTGAGTGCCGAGGCAACAGAGCTTACAGCAACCTTCAACTCTTGGGCTTAAGAGATTCTCTTGCCTCAGCCTCCCAAGTAGCTGGGATTACAGGTACCTGACACAACACCCGGCTATTTTCTGTTGCAGCTGTCATTGTTGTTTAGTTGGCCCAGGCTGGGTTCAAACCTGCTAGCCTTGGTATATGTGGCTGGCGCTGTAACAACTGTGCTATGGAGGCTGAACCACAGACCAAGTCTCTCTCTCTTTCTTTTTTTTTTTTTTTAGAAACAGAGTCTTACTTTATGGCCCTCGGTAGAGTGCCGTAGCATCATAGCTCACAGCAACCTCCAACTCCTGGGCTTAGGCAATTCTCTTGCCTCAGCCTCCGGAGTAGCTGGGACTATAGGCGCCTGCCACAATACCAGGGCAATTTGGTTGCAATTTGGCTGGGGCCAGGTTTGAACCTGCTACCTGCGGTATATGGGGCCAGTGTCCTACTCAGTGAGCCACAGGCGCTGCCCAACACAGGCCAAGTTTTTTTTTTTTTTTTTTTTTTTGAGGCAGAGCCTCAAGCTGTCGCCCTGGGTAAAGTGCTGTGGTGTCATAGCTCACAACAACCTCCAACTCCTGGCCTTAAGCAATTCTCTTCCCTCAGCCTCCCAAGTAGCTGGGACTACAGGCACCCACCGCAATCCCTGGCTATTTTTTGGTTGTAGTTGTCATTGTTGTTTGGCAGGCCTGGGCTGGATTCGAACCCTCTAGCTCTGGTGTATGTGGCCAATGCCTTAGCTGCTTGAACTATAGGCCCCGAGCCACAGGCCAAGTCTTAATGGGGACAGGAATAAGCATGGGTCCAGGGACCTTGTGGACCTCTGAGAGGTCACCACTAGGTCATCCGGTACCAGATTCTTGATGACTTATGTGTCTTCATTTGGGATTGGAGTTCCCAGGTTAGCACCTCTTTCATAGGATTATTTGAGGATTTAACGAGTTAGAACATGTAAACTACTTAGACCATTGCTTGGCACATAGTAAGCTTTTAATAAGTATGTAGAACTTCTACTTTTAAGTAGATGGAAAAAAAGTCTGTTAGGGTTACTATAACAAAGTACTACAAAGTGGGTGGCTTAAAATAATAGAAATTACCCTCTCATACTTCTGGAAGCTAGAAGTGTGGCAGGCCGTCTACCTCTGACCCTCTAGGATTCTTCCTTGTCTCTTCTAGCTTCTGGGAGCCACAGGCACTCTTTGGCTTACAGATGCATCACTCTAGACTCTGCCTCCACTGTCACATGAATATGACCTCCATGTCATATTCTCCCTGTGTGTCTCTGTCTTTACATGCCATTCATTAAAAAAAAAAATTAATTAATTTATTGTTATTATTTTTGAGACAGAGTCTTGCTTTGTTGCCTTTGGTAGTGCCATGGCATTGTAACTCAGAGCAACCTCAAACTCCTGGGCTCAAGTGATCTCTTGCTTCAGCCTCCCAAGTACCTAGGATTACAGGTGCCCGCCACAACACCTGGCTATTTTTAAAGACAGCGTCTCATTCTTGCTCAGGCTGGTCTTGAACTCCTGAGCTTAGGCAATCCATCTACCTTGGCCTCCCAGAGTGCTAGGATTATAGGCGTGAATCACCATGCTCAACCTCTATTTTTATTAATAATAATTATTATTTTTTTGCAGTTTTGGCTAGGGCTGGGCTTGAACCTGCCACCTCCAGTATATGGGGCCAGTGCCCTACTCCTTGAGCCACAGGCGCCGCCCTATTTTTATTAATTTTTTTATGAGATGGGGTCTCGTTGTGTTGCCCTGGCTAGAGTACAGTGGCTATTTGCAGATGTGATCATGGGACACCGTAGCCTCAAACTCCTGTGCTCAAGTGATTCTCCTGTCTCATCCTCCCGAGTTATTGGGACTACAGGCTACCACACCTGGCCTCATGTGGCAGTCTCCTCTTCATGTCTGTTTTCTCTTCTTGAAAGATATTAATCAAGTCCTATCACACACCTAATTGATAGTGACCTCATTTAAACGTGATTACATTTGCAAAGACCTATTTCCAAATCAGGTCACATTCACAGGTACCTGGGGTTAAGACTTCAACATAATTTTGGGGCAGGGGTGAGGGACACAATTTAACTCACAATAGCCTAGCCGTCTTACCACTTCCCTCTCATATACCCAAGACTAGATATTGTTAAACAATGTGCTTTATCTATTGAGGACTAGGAACCCAATTGTGTTTTCATCAGCCACAACCCATTGTAGAGTTGACACTTTATGATGAAATCAGTTCCAGGGGTGTCCAATGTATAGCCTGTGGGCTGCATGCGATTATTTGAAGCCTGTTTACTTTTATTACATCTATTATTGACATAGTGACCTTTGTATATGAAGCAAGACTGGTTTTGTTTAATTTTTTAATTTTTAGATATCTCTTTTAGACATTACAAAGTTTTTATCCAAAGAAATTTGCTAATGTTTGTTTCTTCCTATATCTTTTAAAAATCTCTCTACAGACAAAATAATTGTGGGTAGCTTTATGGGATACTTAAGAATCTTCAATCCCCATCCTTTAAAAACAAGAGATGGAGCTCAAGCTGAAGATTTGCTTCTAGAAGTACATCTGCGAGATCCAATACTTCAAGTGGAAGTAGGAAAGTTTGTATCGTAAGTACAGCCTAATTTTGGTATTTTACTTGGAGTATGTCAATCCAAGTAAAATACTTAGAGTGTGTCACTTCTGTGGATTCTTCAAAGAAGAATATCCATAAATTAGAAATATATTCTGTATTGTTACCTAGGTGTTCCTTATATACTGAAGGCTTTTTTATGTGGAAACTTACGCATTTAAGATAGAATAATTTAGGGCTTTTTTATAGTAACAGACCTAAGATGCTTGACATTGAACCCTAAAGGAAAAGAGGTATGCTTTTGAAAATAACCAAATAAAGAAATAGGAGGTTATATAAGTGTCTGTTTAAGTAATTATATGAAGTAGCAGATAAGCATTACTTTGTGGCTCATAACTTTAAAGTTTTAAAATGAATTACTTATTTGGGTTAGAGAGGTCCTTCTTCCTTGAAAGAAGTCAGCTCATTCCACAAAGTTAGTCTTACCTCTATAATATCTCTATTTCAAAGTTCTTTACTTTTTTTTTTTTTGAGACAGAGTCTCACTTTGTTGCCCTCGGTAGAGTGCTGTAGTGTCGCAGCTCACAGCAACCTCCAGCTCTTGGGCATGGGTAATTCTCTTGCGTCATCCTCCTGAGTAGCTGTGACTACAGGCGCCTGCCTGTATTTTTTTTTTTTTTTAGGTTGGGCCAGGGCCGGGTTTGAACCCGCCACCCTCAGTATATGGGGCTGGCCCCCTACTCACTGAGCCATAGGCGCCACATCTCAAAGTAGTTTACTTTTGAACCTAATTTATTTTAGCAAACCATTTATTAGCTTGAACTTCATATATTTTTTAAATGACATTGCTGATTTTCTCTCATTTTCCTAAAATTAAGCTCTTTATTTTTTTTTAAGACAGTCTCATTTTGTCACCTTTGGTAAGTTCTGTGCATCATAGCTCACAGCAACCTCAAACTCTTGGGCTCAAGAGATCCTCTTGCCTTAGTTTTTCATTTTTAGTAGAGACAGGGGTCTCACTCTTGCTCAGGCTGGTCTTGAACTCATGAGCTAAGCACTCCGCCTGCCTCGGCCTCTCACAGTGCTAGGATGTGAGCCACTGCGCCCAGTGGTATATTCTATTTGCTTATCATAACTCATGGGTCCCAGGTGCCATTTATTCAGAGCTCTGAGTCCTGCTTGAAAACCAAACAACCTTTCATGAACATTAACCTTCTTTTAGTGATATGTTTCATTCTGTTTGGAAGCTGAAGATTGGGTGCATTGGGCCAGGGTACAAGATGAGAATTTTATGTGCTGTGACAGGCAAGATTGGGGAGATTTTGTTGGGAAATATATACTCCATCTAAAAGCAGATGATGATCAGGTGCCCATCATGTGCCTAGTATATATTAGATATGATGAATTTATAAAGTAAGGAGACAAAAGGATTCTTGTCTCTAAAAAGCATTTTTACCTTTCCATGTAGAAGAAAAAAAGTGAAACGCTATCAGTCATTCTGTACAGTAGTCCTTGAAGTGTATTGCTCATGTATGTGATCGTTTACTGGGAGGGGAGGAGCTCAAGAGAGCCTCCTGTCTTGATCTCCCAGAGTGCTAGGATTATAGTGATTGAATCAATAACCTTAACTGTAAGGCAGATATGATCTGCGTTTAGAGATGAGGAAACTAGATCTCATTGCTTAAGTTCACAAAGATAGACTCCTTCCCAGGTCTCTCTGACTCTATACTTTACAATTTTTCCATGACACCATGCTCTTTTCCTGAGCATTATGGAAAAATTGTTTTGAGTATCCAGGATACATGTAAAACATTTCTGAAGACAACATTGATTATGTGATAGTTGTATAATATACATTTGCATTTTCTGATAGAGTGAATGATGAGTATTTATCCATTGTTCCAATGTTTGAAGATATCATCTAATACAATTCTTATTTTGTAAATGAGATACTAACACTCTGAAAGATTAAATGATCACACATATAGTAGGGTACAGAGAGTCAGAACCCTAATCCAGGTCTTTAGATTTCAATTATATTTAGATTTCAATTATAGTCCTTGTAGTTTTGAACAAAATCTGAATCAGAGGATGTACACTGGAGGTTTGCTTGCATATGTGAGCCTGCACAATGTTTTACATTTAAAAGCATTGCCAACATTTCTGCATAAAATTTCTTTTTTCTGGCTTTTCTTGAAAAATGTAAGCATCTTGCCATAAACCCAGAACCAAGTAGTAGCCACCTCCTTTAGTCTGGCCCCAGTCTCTGGTTAATTACAGCCATTTATATCTACTCAACCACTGGCTTGGCCCTTGAAGACTGAATTTAGCATCTCTAGACTGTGCCATGGCTGCTGTTTCTGAAACCACTTGATATGGCCTAAGAAGTGTAGTGGTGATATTGGTAGTTTATTTCCATTTGAGATTTAGTTCAAACTCAAATATTTTTAATACTTTTAATGAAATTTCAGAGCTGGAAATGATATATGCAATTTACTAATAGTGATTAGCCTTTTGTGGTACTTTATACTTTACAAGGTGCTTTCATGTTATTTTGTTTCTTACCTTTTTTTTTTGAGACTGAGTCTTACTCTGTTTCCCAGTCTAGAATGCCATGGCATTAGGCTAGCTCACAGCAACCACAAACTCCTGGGTTCCAGTGATCCTCCTGCCTCAGCCTCCCAAGTAGCTGGGACTATAGGTGCCTACCATCACACCTGGTTGATTTTTCTATTTTTAGGAAAGACAGGGTTTCACTCTTGATCAGGCTGGTCTTATTCCTGAGCTTAAGAGATCCTCTTCTCTTGATCTCCCAGAGTGCTAGGATTATAGGCATGAGCCATCCATTATGCTTAACCTATTTTATTTTATTTAATTGAAATCTCTTATTTTCCAGAAGGAGAAACAGGCTTAGAGAGATCAAGCAACTTGCTTAAAGTCACTGGTGTATTAGATAGGAAGACAGGACCAGGACTTGGATTTCTTTATTGAAAGAAAGAGCACTCACAAAAGGGCTTCACATCTGACTCTTTCCTGGAGGCTCCATTGGCTTCAATGTGAAGGCAGCTCCTTGAGGCAGAGTCCTTGAGCCTCTGGGATTGTCAAATTGGCTATATTTTAGTTTAGAATGTTAATTAATAGATTGTTTTATTTACTCAAGTGGCTGTGGTTATAAAATCTTTTTGAAATTATTTTATAACATTTTGGTTATATTTGAAACTAGTATTTAAAAACTTTTAAAACTTTCTCCATTTTTCAGAGGTACAGAAATGCTGCATTTGGCTGTGTTGCATTCTAGAAAACTTTGTGTCTACTTTGTCTCAGGTATGAAATTTTTTTTTTCTAATGTAGCATTTATATTACAAACTGGACTTCTTAGTATTATATAAGAATAGATATTCCCTAGTGCTGACTTGGTAGAGAACACAAAACATCCAGTTGAAGGTTTTCTTGTCTTGTAATAGTTATTACATTACATTTTTTTTTGTCTGCTGTTTTCATTTTTATTTCTAGCAGAGAATTCCTCATAATCTCCTGCTTTCCAGGACTTGTATTCAGGATTGCCTGTAACTAATAGAGGGCCATTTTGGGTCCTTAGGGCACTCAAGTCTTAAGAAATGTTCTACAGCAGTGGTCCCCAACCTTTTTTGGCACCAGGGACCAGTTTTATGGAAGATAAATTTGCCATGGACTGGTGGAGAGGATGGTTTTGATATGAGCCAAGCAATTGGTCTATTATGGTCTCTATATAGTCTAACCTCTCTGGTAACGATAATCCGTATTTACAGGTGCTCCCCAGCAGTAGAGTCACTGCCTCAGCTTCACCTCTGATCATCAGGCATTAGATTCCCATAAGGAGGGGCAACCTAGATCCCTCACATGTGTAGTTTACAGTAGAGTTCACTCTCCTATGAGATTCTAATGCTGATCCTTCTGACAGGAGGTGGAACTCGGGTGGTGTTGCAAGTGGTGGGGAGCAACTGTAAATATAGATGAAGCTTCCTTCATTCACCCCTGCTCACCTTCCTGGTGGCTGGGTTCCTAACAAGCCATGGACCAGTACCAGTCAGTGGCCTGGGGATTGGGAACCACAGTTCTAACCTAACAAAATTGATTGGATGCTGAATCATAGTGGTTTGAAGTATATTTCTCTAGTGACCCTCAAGTATTTTTACAATTCCAATTTCTTAGCTTTTGGTTGTCTTCACTCAACTCAGGCCTCAAGGTGTTTATTTTGAGGCTTAATCAGGTTTCATTCTCCTACTGAGTTCTGTGGGTACAAGTTTAGTAGTTACCTGTGGTGTGATTTCAACATTTTGGCCCTTATTAAATTTAAAGGCTAATGTACATTTAAAAAATTTCAATTATTAGATAAGTTTTAGTTCAGGTTGAGAGTTATTTTCATGGATGTCAACATTGGGGAATTTTTTATGGGTGTGATAAAGCTAAGTGTCTCTGGGGCTATTCTTTTTTTTTTTTTTTAGAAACAGCATCTCACTTTGTTGCCCTCCATAGAGTGCTATGGCATCACACAGCTCATAGCAACCTCCAGCTCCTGGGCTTAGGCGATTCTCTTGCCTCTGCCTCCTGAGTAGCTGGGACTATAGGTGCCCACCACAACGCCTGGCTATTTTTTTGTTGCAGTTTGGCCGGGCGCTGGGTTTGAACCTGCCACCCTCCGTATATGGGGGCCTGGTGCTCTACCCACTGAGCTACAGGTGCCGCCCGAGAGTATTCTTTATATAAAAGATACTTATCTTTGGAGTTTGCTGTAAACATTAGCTTCTATGATTTGGATTCTGCAGACTTCTTCTCTTCTTTTGGGTTTTCTTTGTATTTTGCTTTCAATTTGTTTAATGATGCATATTTATTGCCGCTGAACTGGATATTCTTAGACAGACTGTTTTGGGGGTAGAGATCTTTTAGATTTTCATAGCAGGTTTGATAAATTGGTAGATGGTATATGGTAGACATCCAGTAAATACTTGATGAGTGAACGAATAAAACCTATTTGTCAGTAGGACTGAGGCAATTACCAGTGGCTCTCTTTTTTTACTTTTTTACCATGTGCTGTTTTTGTCCCTTTCTCTCTTACCACTGTCATTTTATTTTCCATTCTGTATCGGAGGCCTGATGTATACTGTCACTGGTTTCAAGGTAAAAGAACATGGTTTTATGTTCCTCCTCCTAGTGATCTGAACACATTTAGTATTCCAGAAGAAATGGAGACTGTATGACCTATACTGCTTTATTGCATGGATCTCATTGTTCCTCTGATTGTGATTATAAGCCTGTGAACTATGAATGATGTTTCATTAACCAGTTTGTACAGGCCATGGAGGAGGGCAACTTATCCATAGTTACAGTTACTCTAAATCAGTGGTTTTCAACCTTCCTAATGCCGTGACCCTTTAATACAGTTCCTGTGGGTCACAAGCCACAGGTTGCAAACTGTTGCTCCAAATATTTCTTGTAGAATTACTTTCTTCTGGGGGCTCCATAGGGGGACTCTGAGCAAGGCAGAATGGGATATTGTAGAAACTAGAAATTATATTGGACCACTTGGCCTTCCCTGGTCCTGTTTGAAGTATGGCCCAGAAAGGCAGAAGCTTCTAGATTTCCACTGGGGCTTAGAGCATAAACTAATGATAAAATGTGTGCTTATCAAAAAAGCCTACTGAAAGAAACTGGTGTTTTTGGTGAAAAATTGTTTATAGGACATTGGTATCCTTCCAATAAGTGTTGAAAATGAAAATTATTTGCTGAGGAAATGGTGATTTTTATTGCCCTTTTATTCTTTGTATTCATTTAAAAGCTTTGTGTTCTCTGGGGACTAGGATTTGTCCAAACTACATTCCCTTTTGCCCCACCTCATTTCCCTTCTGTTTCTCATTTCTTCAGCCTCTTATGATATTCATAGGCTGACAATTTGTGTATTTTTCCTGGCCTGGCTTAAATTGAGAATCATGGGAAATTAATGTTTTCATTCTCTTGAATGTTTCTTGAGGTTCCAGACTGAACTTTTACCTAGCTTTTACTGTAATGGGATGCATAAACATTTTCTAGTTGAAGTAAAACCTCTGGTGTCAGCAGATGAACATGTGAGCTGAACTTGACATCTTTCCGTTAACTGCTCCCTCCCCAACTATTTTTTATTTTCTTTTATAGTCTATGTAGTCTATGTGCTTTTTTTTTCTTTTTAATTGAGGTGAACTAGAGGTCACTTTCTAAAGTTAAGTCTCCTGGACTTAACAAAGAACCCTTAAAAGTCAGAGGTTACTGTGCTGATTTCTTTTTGGTGAGCGGTATGTCCTCAAATATATGCTTAATGGAAACAGGGTCTTGCTGACCTGAAGTTAGCCTATCTGATCCTCCGGTAAAGACAAAGTTTCACATAGTATCTCAGATTCCTTTCTGATGGGCTTTAGTGTTTCAGTAAATGGTTACAGATGTACATATTTTTTATTGTTTTATTTTATTATTTTTTTGAGACAGAGTCTCACTATGTTGCCCTCGGTAGAGTGCTGTGGTGTCACAACTCGCAGCAACCTCAAACTCTTGGGCTTAAGTGATTCTCTTGCCTCACCCTCCCAAGTAGCTGGGACTACAGGCACCTGCCACAATGCCAGCTGTTTCTTTGGTTGCAGTTGTCACTGTTGTTTAGCAGGTCTGCGCTGGGTTCGAACCTGCCAGCCTGGGAGCATGTGGCCAGCACCCTAACCACTGAGTTATGGGCACCGAGCCAGGATTATGTTCTTTTTAATATTCTTTTCCAAAAATGTGTACGACTCAACAAACAATTACTAAGCATCTGACTTATTTATAAAATATTGACGGCTGCCATGAGGAGGCAAAAAAGATGTGGTTCTTTACTTTTGACAGGCTTGTGTACTGTAATTTAGTTATTTAACACAATGTACCTTTACTTGATCTGCAATGGCTTTGAATTTATTTAACATCCTAGATTGCTCAAAAGTTATCTAAAATTGTACTGAAAACTTGTCAAGATGACCTTTGATTTTCTAAAGAATTTTTTGATCTTGTTTAAATCAGATGGAATTGCCAATAGCATAAGTGTTCGAATATTCACGTACTTTCTAATTGATGAAACGTTATACAGGGTGGCCATAGAGTTCATGTGCAATGTAAAATTATATTTATGGCCACCCTGTATTAACTTTAGCTTTATGTAAACTATAATCATATGTACTTAGTATATTCAGTCTGTATATCTAAGGGCAAAATCTGTTTCAATAATTTTAACATTATATCATTGATTGCTTTTTATGGGGAAAAAAGGTTAGACATTTTAGATTCTCCTATGCTGTCTTTAGTACAACATAGTCATCTAAGGAAGATAGTCTTTATTTATAATAGTTGCATTTTTAAGTTTTAAAGTCCCGTTACCTCAAACTTAAAATTTACCAGTGCATTTGGTGTTTTACAGACAACTTCCAGTGTCATTTCACACTGAATTTGTTTAAATATTGACTGCTGACTCATGGTCTTCTCTGACGTGAGTTCCTATTGTTCCGATCTGCCTTTTGGCTAGCAGGCCTGCATTAAGTGCTTCCCTATTCAGAGGGATTGATCTGATTATAGGTGCATACAGAATTCAAATTTGTAATTTCTGTAGTGGTAGACCAACACTTCTGGAGCTTCTTTTTTGGTGTCTTGGAGGGAAGGACTTTCTTTAGATTAATCCCATAGGTTTTTGTTTTGTTTTATTTTCTTTTTTCCCCATGTGACTGGTTAGGTGTGATTTACCCCTCAGTTTTTTAGTACCTCACTGATTTTACTACCTTTTAGATTCCAGGAAGCCTTCATCTCCTATCAGGGTAAGCTGGCAAATCTGAATATTTCTCTTTCTTTTTTTTTTTTGAGACAGAGTCTCAAGCTGTCACCCTGGGTAGAGTCCTGTGGCATTACAGTTTGTTCTCTTTGTTTTTTATTTTAATGGTATTGTTGCAAGAAGACAAGGCCCAACAGAGAGACAGAGCACCCAAACACCATAGTTATAAGAGGAAGGGCTTTATTCATTGGCCGGGAGCTTCCAAATGGCCGCGCTCCCGGACTGGCTTGGTCTTTCCCTTTTTATTGACAGTCAAAAAGTTCCACCCCACAGGTACACTTCCCATTGGCCAGTTTGAATCAAGCGGGAGAAGCTACTCCAGCCCCTACAGAACTACAGGATTTCACAGAACTTGGAAATTTCCAAGTTCCAGGAGGTTAAGCCTATAAATTCCCAAGAGCTGAGTCACCATGGAGAGGGCCCTGCAGGTGCATCCTTGTGGTCTCCCTGAGAAGACCTGTTTTCCCGGACC